AGTTCAAAAGTTTTGAAATGCAGCCCTTACACAGAAAAAGGTTGCCCATCCCTGGTCTAAGTGGCAAGGGGGGTGTGAAGTACATACTAAGTTTAGATAGAAAAGAAAACACACAATTTAATTTAAAACACAAAGAAAAGGTACTTACATTTTAAACAGAAGAAAAATTAAAACTCAACGTTGTCACTTTCAGGGATCACCACTTCACCCTTCTCTCTACCGTGTCCTGACCTACTCTCTCTGTCCCTTCTTTTTTTCGGTTTTATGACCCTTTGTCTACATTTCTTATTCCCCTTTTACAACTGTACGCAAATAGATTGCATATGGACTGACAAAACTGCATCTGAGGGAGAATGAGGAGGTCCGATATCACTACAGTTGCATTTGCGCATTGCGTTCGGTTACAACTTACAAGTGTAACACATTAAGTCAAGACATTGCGAGCAATCGACCAAAATTAGTTTTGCGATCGACTTGTTGGCCACCCCTGTTCTATAGTATGTTCAGAAAGTCTAACTCTTCTCACTGCTGGTTATATAGTATATAACACCAACAAACCTTTATAATTAAACCAGCAAATAAAGTTTTTAATATACTTTGACAAGTGTTTTTGATCCTAATTGGGATCTGCTTCAGGTCAAAACATTCTATACAAAAATTTGGAATGCTTAAAGAGCAATTTTAAATTTTAAAAATCACTAGAATGATTAAATATTCTAACACACACAAAAATTACAACTTTGTGTTAATATTAACATTAAAAATAAAAATCAACAATAACATACAATAAAATAAAAATGAACATAAAAATTTAGCGTGTATATTGTAAGAAATCCCAATGGAAGTGGTTGATTTCTATTTGTTATTAATGTTGTCAGATTGTCAAAAAAAGTCCTCCAGGCATGTGAAGTGTTAACCTCCTCCTTAAAATTTAAGCATTCCCCCTTTAGCTCAGCTTTACAAATTTCTAGAGCTTCCAAAATTTTAATCTGCTTAGTGTGAAATATGCATTTAATAAGGCTGGTCTGTTGTAGTTTAGTTTAGCTTCCACAATAGTTTCAGAAGCATATATTGCTAGGGTTATGGTCTGCTTTTTGTTACATACAGTATATTGTATTTATGCATTAATAATAAATAGAAATCAACCACTTCTGTTGGGATTTGTTACAATATACACGCTAAATTTTTATGTTAATTTTTATTTTATTTTATGCTAATGTCGTTATTAACGTTAAAAATACAAATTAACATTAACACACAGTTGTGATTTTTGTGTGTGTTAGAATATTTAACAGTTAACACATAGATGGAAATTTTTGTATTTGTTCAAATATCTAATTGTTCCAGAAATTCTAAAATTGAAAATTGCTTTTTAAGCATTCCAAATTTTTGTACAGAATGTTTTGACCTGAAGCAGATCCCAATTAGGATCGAAAGTGCTTGTCAAAATATATTAAAAACTTTATTTGCTGGTTTAATTATAAAGATTTGCTGGTGTTATTGTTCAGAAAGTCTCTTAAGTGGGTATTGTAGGTTGTGTTTGTCCCTTTACTCAATGGTTGGTTTTGGGCAATACTTGTACTGTACATCAGGCAGTACTGTGTCTGCTCTACTATTTACTATTCCACAATCACATGTAGGAGATTTAATATAGTGTTTGCATGTGTATGATGTTTTGGTTCAGTATAATTTATAGCACTGACTGCAGAGAGTCTTTTCAAACATCTTACATGTAACTGGTAGAAAGTTTGAGTTTAAATGAAAAGCATGAAATTAAAATTGATTTGTTAATTATAAATGATAATATACTTTACGGACCTATTTAAAAAGAGAGAAAAAGTAGAAAAATAATAATATCAAATAGAGTAAATATTATGTCTATGGGTTTAAAATTAATCCTACCCAAAAAGTTGCCATCTCTTTTACCTGAGAGCATGAATAGTTACTCAATAGGAAATAAAAAACTAGCTAGATCTGAGTAATGAAAATAACTCTCGTGGTATGGCATTATAAATCTTTGTATTCAGAGTCTGATAAAAGAAATTTAATCTAATTAAATGACTCATACTTTTACCACAAATTTCACAAAATAACTTTGTCATTAAGATTTGTTTAAATTTGTTTTGACTCATTAATACAAAGATCCAATACCCTCACATCAGTTTATTTTTACTCTTAAATACTCTATTTTCTAGACTGTCTTGTATATGTCATTTGTTTTCTTATGCATTTTGACAGTATTTAAACAAGCAAAATTTGACAAACAATATCTGCTTAGTCACAGAAAAATTAGATAAATAATCTATAATCATGGGGAAACAATTAATTTTAAATTAATAACTAACAGAGCAGGTATCAATATTGTCAGCAAAGTAAATCACAGAATTACATAATACATCATAGTGTGAAAATGTACAGTGTGGACAGGAAAACATAGACACGTTTTACTAATTAAACAAGTTTAATTTCGCGCTAACATTAATATATATATGAGTAAGTTCGGATTCCCGCTGTTTACCTACAAACATTACCAAAATCTCGAGCGATCAGATATGCCAATAGACCGGTAGTTACTTTTCCGATAACTACCTCCCGACAAATCTATTTGCGCGCGTAAACTTAAACTAACTTAAACTAAAGGATAGGAAAAGTAGAAGGGGAAGTAAGAAGAACTAAAGGACAGAGGGTACCCAATTTTTCTGTTGGTTCTCCACCGTTCCTCGTCTCGGCTTCTTTCCGCAGCTGTTCTCCTTTTAGGACAATTCGGGTCCGTTTCGGGGTTTCCTTTTCTATAATCAACGATCGGATTCTTCTGCCAATCCGATTCTTATGGCCTCCTTCTGCAGCGCTTCCCGACTTTCCGTTTTCGGAGTCTGCTGCCGCTCGTCCTTTTCTCTGGGAGTCCGGCCCAAGAATGTTGAAAAACCCTTTGTTTTCCACTCTCTTCCAGCCCCATTTTCTCCTTTTGTTCTAAGGCTACCCCCTGATGGGTAGAGGCGCGTTCTCGGAAGTCCGAGACAAAGGAACAAAGAAATCGGAAGGAAGGAAAATTCTAGAATTTAAATTAAACTAAAACTATACGGACTAATAATAATAATAACAATATTAATAAAAGAAAACAGGCGTGTAGCCACAATAGATTTTTGCCCCAATAACAACATTTTTAAAATTAATGTTACTGATTATATCATAGAACACATACAAGATCAAGACCTTAGATTAGATGTTAATGACATCAAGTATTATACCACTGATTACTATCCACAACAGTAAACTTATAGCAGACACTGACTCATGTCACCTAGATATGCATGAATAATTTCATGCATATCTAGGATAGTATAATTATTATTTTTGTTAACTTATCTAAATTAGTTCTGTCATCTTAAAACTTCTTTCTTAACTAGATTTAAATTAACCCAGTAAGAAGTCATTTTTCTTTTAATAATTTTGAATTTTCTACATTATCAAAAGCTTAAATACTCAAAATATGAGTTCTAGAGTAATATTAAATATGTAAAAAAAAATCATCAAAAGAGAAAATTCTCATTTGTATATGTTTTTGTACAGTACATATTCAAATATTTTAAAATTAATAGTAGTTTTCAGATATAAATTTGAAGGAAAATACTTCTCATATATTTTTTAGAGTTTCTAATTATTGTCATGAAATTATGTATATAATTAATTTGAAAAAAAAGTCTAAATTGTCTCTAGAAATTTAAAATATTATTTGTTCACTTTATGGAGTATTATCAATTTCATCATTAACAATAACCAGGATATCAATAGATATAGTATAAAATCTTTACAATAAGAAAATTGTACTTTTGTTTCCTTTTATATTTGTAATCACAACTGTAGAATATTACTTTTGAAGGTTTTATTAAACTTCTTTAAATTAAAAATGCAGGAAATTAATTTTGAATTAATTTTCTGTATTTTGTATTTCCATACTGTCTACTTAAAACAACAAATAATACAATTATACTGGAAATTCAAAATGAATGAAGTTAAATAACAATAATAATCTACTTGAGATAAAAGTTAATGTATTAAATGAGAATAGCACAATAAGTCCCATTTATTTATCATCAGTGCATTAAAGAACATTACCATTATTTATCATTGGGAATCACATTCAATAAAATAATTGTTTTAAGTGTAAAATTTTTTATTCTTCCTATTCTTATATTGCTATTAAACCTATACAATAAAAACAAATATTGATACTAGAAAAATTAATTTAACAACTTATGCTAAGTATAAATATCAAGTAATAGTTACCTGTTCTTTATCGATATTGAGTTCAATGCAGCACACTTGTAATAAATAATTATAAGTTAACTGATCACGAGGTATTTCAATTTCTATAAAATCAGGATCTTGACTGTTAGCTAATCTCACTTTTAATACTAATTCTTCTACAGAAAATAGAATATTTTAATAATAAATTAGAGCTTGGAAAATTAACAGAACATTTTGATTTAGCTTACCATTCTCAACAACAGTAATGGGGACCGACGGATTTACACAAACAGGATGCTTTCCGTTCACTAAATCAGGTTTTTCGATTTGATTATTTTGCCCCAAATCATCCGACATGTCCACCTTATAGCCTAATGGAGGGTGAGCTATATAATTTGGCGTAATGGCTAAATTAGCCGAACAGACATCACTATTGATAGAAGAACCTTCAAATAAATAAAAAGAAACCAGTATAATTATTTTATATTTTGTGATATTTTACATTTTATTAAAGTATATCAGTAGACTCGCTTTATAGTGACTCACCACAATATAATTATAAATAGGAAAGGTTCCAGTCATTATCCCATAAGCATAATGCTATTTTACTATCGACATAACGAAACTGTTAATAGTCAGAATCTTTCAGAACACTGAAACAACAAACCTGCATAGAAAAAAAAACAAAAAACACATCTTCTTAGGTAAATATATGTTTCAGCACAAAAAAGTTGTTTTAAATCAAAACAACAATTACATACATAAAAATGAAAATACTGTATAAATAAATATATTTTTGATAATGAATTAGAATGGACAAAAATTACATACACACTTGAAAAAATCTAATAACCATCACAGATCGTTTGAGTAAGCAACCATCATTTGCTTGCTTACTCATCTTTCTAATTCAACTATCATTTAATTATTAAAAACATTGGCCCAAAAATGTTTGGCATAATCAGCAACTTCCCAATAAAATAGGAAGATATTGGAAAAATTAGATGCGACAAACATTTGATGCAACATCCATTTTCAAACATCCCCTAAGGATCATTATAAAGCGAGTCTACTGTGTACAGATATAATAATATTTTTGCAAAATTATCTATTGATCAATTTAACATACTTTTTCAAAAGAACTAAAATTTTGGTAATATAATTTGAAATGATAGCTTAAAGCAAAAATTCTAAAATTAAATATAGAAACATAATAATTTTTACTATTGTTTCTACTTAACAAAGATAAAAATTATTTATTTCACATTTAATTATTGCATAATTCAAAATACAAACAGAGTTACACCACCAAATTTCTGAAACTGATGGTCCAGAACCTCTTTTAATCCAAATAAAATTACAAGAGGGAACTTGAAATTCCTACAGCTACCAGACTAGTTTACTAGGCAGTCACAGACGATGACATGTGTAGGGCCTTGATTTACATTATTTACACTGCACTTTTTGGCAGGGCTGTGGAGTCGGGTCGTGGAGTTTTGGTGTTTTCGCCGGAGTCGGAGTCGGATGGTAAGGAAAAGTCAGAGTCGGTAGATTTTTACGCGATTCCACAGCTCTGGCACGGCTATGGAGTCGTAGTCGGAGTCGTGGAGTTTAGGTGTTTTAGCCAGAGTCGGAGTCGGATGGTAAGGAAAAGTCGGAGTCAGTTGATTTTTACGCGACTCCACAGCCCTGGTTTTTGGCAGCGATGCCACAATTTTAAGATATTCTTAGTTTTATTTCACTTAAATTCAATCCTAGCTATTACTCATAAGAGAAATGAGAATGTCATTAGTGGTGTCAAATATCATTTATATTTAATATTTATTTAAATTTCTAGCAGTCCACATTATATCAATACTTTAGAAACATGGAACGTGTATAATTAGTAGGTTAGAGTCAATGAGGAAAATTATTATACATGACCATGGTTGGTCTGACAAGGCTTTGGAATTAAATGTGCTGGAAATTCAGTTGTGTTCTTGTAACTTTATATTGAAAATAGACTAATAAATATTTTTATAGCATATGATTTAAAATCTCAGTAAATTTCACTTTGTAATGTTTGTATATTCTAACTTTAAAAACCTGCAATAAAAATTATGCAATTTGAGTGCATTTTGAAAACATTAACCCAAATGCAAACGAAATTTTGTTCTACAATAAACTATCAATAATTGTTTGACATTTACTTTGATTTAATTCAGTTAATTAAAAATTTTAAACTACATTACATATTCAAATAGTACCCAGATATTTCCAATTTCAATTAATCAAATATTACATTAATCAATTGAAAGTGAGATATCATTGATTTTTATTAACTTAGAAGCTAGAAATAACCTTTATGGGTAAATAACTTCTAAATTAAATAGCACATGAATATTTGAGATTTCTCTTGGCTTTATGAACTTTTCTTATGAAGAAAACAAACTTAAAATGTCAGAATAATCAAAATTTCAAAACCATAATGATCAACATATTTAAACTTTTAATTGTTTCTATTTTTAAAACAACTGAACAAGTTTTTGAGTTGTTTAATTAGAAGCTGATAGAAGTTTTGGAAATATCTTCACTATAGTTTGCTTTTCATTAACAGAGGGATTATTTCAAACTTAAATTATTAGAAATGATGTATACCAAATGTATAACTTTTGTTTTTACCTTATAACAATTTGAAATGTAAAAGAACAAAAATAAATAAATAATGGCTTAAATTGAAAAATTTTATAAATATTTAATAATCTAAAAATATTTATTTTAAACACACAAATGGCAAATGTTTTCAATTGTTTAAATGGATATCCTGAAATAAATAAAATATTCAAGAAAACTAAAAAACTTTAATAAAGACGATCAATTATTTATTGTGACATTAAAAATTGCTACTCAACATTGTGACAATCATATTTTTAATTTATTTAATTTAAAATACATGCTCTCCACTTCAAATTATTAGTGGCTTGCCCCTGTACATCATATTTTTCCTGTTAGGCCGAGACTCCACTACCGTAAAAATGGCGTAAAACCCCTCGCTGTAAAATATTTTACAACTGAGCAGGTCGTAAAACCAGCATAAAAGCGAGTTGAGTAGTGTTCAACTCACTTTTACGCTGGTTTTACGATCTGCTCAGTTGTAAAATATCAGGGTCACGTGATTAAAAGCTTTTACGGCGAGGGGTTTTACGTCCATTTTTACGCTAGTGGAGTCTTGACCTTAGAATAGAGTTAGATAACTATCTCCTTCCAGGGGAAAATTTTTGAATTGAACTAATGTAACTTCCAGTTTGCATTAGACGTTCATATGTTTGTATAGAGTTAATTGGGGGCTTCCTATCCCTAAGCTTTGGATATATAATATCAGCTTTCACTTATGCAACTCTGTTCTGAAGATTAAGGAAAGGCAAACAGACAGATGACAGTGGGAATTTATAGGTCTACAATTTTTTCAAATTGCAGCCCAATAATTACATAAAAGTCTCCAAAAGCTGGAACGTACACAAATTAAAACTAAACACCTAAATAGATAATTACTTAGAGTGATAGTAATATAATATTAGTATTAATAATAATAAACAAACAACCAGTTTAAAATGTGTCTCAAAATAAATTAAACTTGTTGCTTGTTTTAATAAAACGTAACAGACTAAAAATGTTTTGACTTTTTCGTCACGTCCAATCACCAGGAACAACTATCTTCTACTGAAGAGACGCCCTTTCTTTAGAGGCTATGCCTCTGCAAAAAAAATTCAAAACAGTCTAAAAGTTCACAGGTGACAAATCCCAGCACAATCAAAAATATAAAATTTTTTTTTTTTTTTTTTTTTGTAAAATTTTGTAAAATTTTTTTTGTTGCTTGTTTAGTCAAACATTATGAAATGAGTTATTAATAGTTAGTTAATATTTCTGCTTTATCACTACCAATCATTACCAAGTGAAATTATAATTTAAGAATGTTTATAAAAATGCATTATTAGATAAATTAAATCATTGTTGTTATTTGAATATTTAATTTCAATTCTAAAAAACTTTATTTTATTGATTTTTTTTTAATGATTAAAAATGCTAATTACATTCAAATAAAACAAATAATATTAAAACATAGTTAAATGAAAAACGAATCATCAGTCTTAGAAATGAATAACTTCTGCCCTGCAGGTACTAAGACGACTTTATTCTCCATCGTGGGGTTGGTCTTACCCACGACGAGGGCAGTCAATTGGCGAGGGACAAAGTCCAACGTATCTTGAACAGACCACCCACAAAAAATTTCCAGGATTGTCAATCAGGTCCCTCAAAATAGACCGACACCTTAGCTAACTCTGCCATCTGGCTCTCTATCAACATAAGACTATGACAAAAGAAAAATAATTAATTCATAAAGTTAATTAAATGTTGCCATAAGATTAACTGTTTAACAAGTGGTATTAGCTTCTTTCAGAATGTATAAATATCACATTGATTTGTTCTTACAGTAATATTATCACTAACTGTATTTTAAGCTAACTGAATATGAATCTATATTAGATGACTGAATTAAGCAGCTTTCCATATACAGTATCTGTTTAAAGTTCAAATTCTTTATTAATTGAGAAATTTATTTTTATCTCATCCAATTATTGTTTACTGTATGTTTGTAGAGATATTACTACTTAAATTAAATATCTACAAACATGAGGTAGATAATAGTAAGGTCTTATCACACAAGTAATAATAGGCACAAATGCTCAGGAATCAAAGTAAAACATTTAATAAAACAAAAAAGGGGTTGTACATAAGTATGAAAATAACCAAAATGCATTTCAATTGGAAATAGTCCCTCTTCAGTTGGTAATTTATTTAAAGTGGTTAATGTACTTAAAATTATACAAGATAAAGATAAACACACCGCTATAATGGTATGACAGAAAACATCAAAAGGGACAGGTGTAAAAAAATCTTCATAACATTGCAAACTGGTGTGATGTACCTGTACAGGGTATTGATACTAATATTTATAAGTTAGCGCAATAATAGGTTAACAGTTGTGAAATAATGTTATACAGAAAAATTACCATATATCTCAGCAGATAAGATGATAGTTGAATCATAAAAAAAGTTCCTCAAAATCCGAGATTGTCTTATAGGACATACAAAAAAAAATTAGATTGCAATTTATATAAATTAAAACCATTATAAAAAGACAGACAAACTGTAATTATTTACTAGAAGAGAGTAGGTTATGTGCACAAAATAGAATAGCCTATACAATGATTTTGTGAATAGTCAAGGTCATTACCAGAATGCCGAATCAGTGCCAATGTTTGCAACAATCAAAAGGCAGTGCCAGATGCAAAATAATAAAATTTGTTCATTCGAAAAATTACAAATAGGACATATACACTATATAGTATTATTATTCAGATGATGATTGCTGATCTAAATTCATAGGCTGTTGATAGTTTGGGGGTCGTCTTATAGGACAGATATATGCTAAAACTATAAAAATTTGACAAAAATTTAAACCTCGTCTTATCTGCAAAGATATACAGTATATACATTATACAGTTATTACAACTTTTTGTACTGTTAAGACTAGTGTCTCAAATATAAATCATCAAGAGAAATTTTGTTGCAACTGGAGAAGAGGAAACTTTAAAACTTGAATTTCAATCATAATTTTTTTGTACTTAGCTTCTATAGAATTACAGAAATACTCTTTACACACAAATCAAACACTCAAAAGTAAGGAATTGAGGAAAATCCTGTTACTATTCCAATCGGCGAGGGACAAAGTCCAACGTATCTTGAACAGACCACCCACAAAAAATTTCCAGGATTGTCAATCAGGTCCCTCAAAATAGACCGACACCTTAGCTAACTAAATTAATCCCTGCCTACTTTAAAAATTTATATAACAACTGCCTTTATTTTTCTACCTTTCCAAAAGCCTGGAAAATAGCAAGAGTAATACCTGTGCCTAAACCAGGATCGACATTAGACAGTAGACCTATATCACTACTACCAATATTAGGGAAAGTCCTCGAAAAACTCTTAGCAGGAAGATTAACTTGGCACATCGAACATAATAGACTCCTAAATATTGCTCAACACGGGTTCAGGCAACAAAAGTCTGCGGAAGATGCCATCGATAAAACGGTTTTCTACATTCAGGAACTCCTGGAGAATAACAAATACGTCCTAGGGGTCAGCCTTGACATCTCAAAGGCATTTGACAGTGCCTGGTGGCCCCTAGTGACACACCAACTAAGAAAATTCAATTGCCCTAAAAACATACTAAGCCTCATTATCGACTATTTCCGTGATCGTAAAGCCTTACTTCAATATGGCATACATACTGTTGAAAAGAAAATAACAAGGGGCTGTCCGCAGGGATCGGTTTGCGGTCCCCTGCTATGGAATGTTATGTTTGACAGCTTTCTTAGCAATGATTTTGGACAAACATACTGTATAGCATATGCCGATGATGTATTTATGCTAGTAGGAGGAAGATCTAGGGCTGAATTAGAGGCAAAAGGAAATGGTTTACTGCAAGAGATATATAATTGGGGTGACAGGCACAAATTAAAATTCAACACCAACAAAACAAAAGCAATTGTTTTCAACAAACCGAGAAAAGCCAATCTTTACGCAAGACCTCCGCATCTGAAGATGAACGGGACAACAATTAAGGTTGAGAAATCGTTAAGATACTTAGGAGTCATATTAGATTTTAGGCTGGCATGGGACAGTCATATCACTCACATTACTGAACGTACTGGCCTGATTTGCCAGATCTTCTCCCAAGTCGCCAAACAGAAATGGGGTCTAACCTCGAAATCATTGTCAATAATTTATGATGGCATATATATACCAACAATAACATATGCTTGTGGTACCTGGGGATGGGCCATTTCCAAGGTCCACCCCAGGAGAAAAATGATCTCGTCCCAAAGACGCATTCTACTATTGATTTCAAAAGCATATAGAACTACAAGCAATGTGTGCTTGCAAGTAATAACTAGAAAACCGCCGATTGACCTTATAATTGACGAAAAGAAAAAATTATTTAGACTTAAAAGAGGAGAAAATATCAAAATTGGAACCAGAGACATAAATTACCATGATGTCGAATGGCCATCATCATTTAGCTGCACTATCTCATCGGAGAATTCCATACTAAGCCAAGATAATACCATAACAGAAGATACCATACTTATATATACAGATGGTTCCAATCATAATAACAAAGTGGGATGCAGCTACGTTATATATAAAAACGGTAATGAAACAAACTACTGTAAATTTCGTTTGCTTAACGAATGTACGATCTTTCAAGCCGAAATGTGGGCTATAAAAATGGCCATTGAATATACTAACAGCAACTTCAATAATAACAAGATAAACATCTATACGGATTCGTTCTCATCGGTTCAAACCATTAAAAACAGAAATCTACACCCAATTGCCGAAAAAATAAGAGAGCTGATATACTTATCGACAAACAAATACAATATTGAATGGGTAAGAGCCCATCAGGGCGAAATCGGCAATGAGAGAGCTGACTTCCTGGCGAAGGAAGCTGCAGCGGAAGACACCCTACCAATAGCATACAATAAAATTAGTAAAAGAATAATTTGCAATATTTTAAGAATAGAAACCATCCATCAATGGCAGGAAAGGTGGAACCAACACAGCGAACATATTACTTATAAATTCATCACAAACTTGAAAGAATTTAATAATAATAAGTGGTATAGCCCTACCCATTACATTTCGCAGTTTCTTACAAACCATGGCAAGTTCGCCACTTATCTAGAAAGATTCAATCATTGCAACTCAAAGATCTGCCCTACTTGCAAAATGGAAGAGGATGGATCGTTACATTATCTTTTCCGTTGCCCAACTTTTGAAAGGGAGCGACTCGAACTTCGAATGGCGACACAGGATCAAGGAATAGCTTGGCCTTGCAAGCCGTCCGAGATTTGGTCCTCTAAGAACACCTATATGGCCTTTGAAAGACTCTGCAAACAAGTCAACTATATAAATAACAGTCAGAACTTCAACTAGTGCATTTATTCTCAACATCTTCTGTTGCCTTTCATTGATTATTTCTACATTATTGTAATTTTCACATTCATCTCTTGACACCATACAATACTATGGTTCTATCCCTGATAAGAAATTAGGCTTTCTTGTAAACTTTATTCTCATGTTAATTTTTATTTTTACTGTCCACCTTAACATTTGTTAAATATCTTTTAATGTTTTAAACAATATTTTGATATTACATGTAAATATTAATTCTGTATTATACTTCCTGATAATGCCATTAGCGGAATCAGGTTATGTACTAAGTTTTGTACCTAAAATAAAAAAAAAAAACCTTAGCTAACTCTGCCATCTGGAACTCTATCAACATAAGACTATGACTATGATTTTATAGCTAAAAATCTCTCAAATAATATATTAAAAGATACTAAAATATAAATGTGTTCATAGAAATGTATGTTCAATGTATAAAAATAGCAAATAAATTAAATGATTAAATGCATTAATAAATTTATATTCTCATTACTCAGCAACATACTAAGAAATAAAGACCCACCACAGTCAAATAAACAAGTACTTTTCATTTTATTAATGAAATTATCAGATGAAATGTAGAAACAGAAGCAAAGATTCTACAGAACAAGAATTTATTTTTGCACATAATATAATTTAATAATAAAATCCAACATAAATCTTTTACTCAGAAATAAATTATATAATTCATAGACTTCTTTAACTGATTTTGTCACAATTAAATAGTTTGTTTTTTTTCTTTAAACTAANGTAAACTTATAGCAGACACTGACTCATGTCACCTAGATATGCATGAATAATTTCATGCATATCTAGGATAGTATAATTATTATTTTTGTTAACTTATCTAAATTAGTTCTGTCATCTTAAAACTTCTTTCTTAACTAGATTTAAATTAACCCAGTAAGAAGTCATTTTTCTTTTAATAATTTTGAATTTTCTACATTATCAAAAGCTTAAATACTCAAAATATGAGTTCTAGAGTAATATTAAATATGTAAAAAAAAATCATCAAAAGAGAAAATTCTCATTTGTATATGTTTTTGTACAGTACATATTCAAATATTTTAAAATTAATAGTAGTTTTCAGATATAAATTTGAAGGAAAATACTTCTCATATATTTTTTAGAGTTTCTAATTATTGTCATGAAATTATGTATATAATTAATTTGAAAAAAAAGTCTAAATTGTCTCTAGAAATTTAAAATATTATTTGTTCACTTTATGGAGTATTATCAATTTCATCATTAACAATAACCAGGATATCAATAGATATAGTATAAAATCTTTACAATAAGAAAATTGTACTTTTGTTTCCTTTTATATTTGTAATCACAACTGTAGAATATTACTTTTGAAGGTTTTATTAAACTTCTTTAAATTAAAAATGCAGGAAATTAATTTTGAATTAATTTTCTGTATTTTGTATTTCCATACTGTCTACTTAAAACAACAAATAATACAATTATACTGGAAATTCAAAATGAATGAAGTTAAATAACAATAATAATCTACTTGAGATAAAAGTTAATGTATTAAATGAGAATAGCACAATAAGTCCCATTTATTTATCATCAGTGCATTAAAGAACATTACCATTATTTATCATTGGGAATCACATTCAATAAAATAATTGTTTTAAGTGTAAAATTTTTTATTCTTCCTATTCTTATATTGCTATTAAACCTATACAATAAAAACAAATATTGATACTAGAAAAATTAATTTAACAACTTATGCTAAGTATAAATATCAAGTAATAGTTACCTGTTCTTTATCGATATTGAGTTCAATGCAGCACACTTGTAATAAATAATTATAAGTTAACTGATCACGAGGTATTTCAATTTCTATAAAATCAGGATCTTGACTGTTAGCTAATCTCACTTTTAATACTAATTCTTCTACAGAAAATAGAATATTTTAATAATAAATTAGAGCTTGGAAAATTAACAGAACATTTTGATTTAGCTTACCATTCTCAACAACAGTAATGGGGACCGACGGATTTACACAAACAGGATGCTTTCCGTTCACTAAATCAGGTTTTTCGATTTGATTATTTTGCCCCAAATCATCCGACATGTCCACCTTATAGCCTAATGGAGGGTGAGCTATATAATTTGGCGTAATGGCTAAATTAGCCGAACAGACATCACTATTGATAGAAGAACCTTCAAATAAATAAAAAGAAACCAGTATAATTATTTTATATTTTGTGATATTTTACATTTTATTAAAGTATATCAGTAGACTCGCTTTATAGTGACTCACCACAATATAATTATAAATAGGAAAGGTTCCAGTCATTATCCCATAAGCATAATGCTATTTTACTATCGACATAACGAAACTGTTAATAGTCAGAATCTTTCAGAACACTGAAACAACAAACCTGCATAGAAAAAAAAACAAAAAACACTTTTTACCATCATCTTAAGAATTACATTCATTCTAAATTTTTATTTTTTAAAGTTTTTTCTAGATTGAAACTTATCTTTGATATTTGTTTAAACAATACCTTATTGTCTAATAATATTACTCTTATCAATTATTAATGTGGCCTATTTTTGAATATAACATGCATATGATAGCGATAGATATAATCTTTTGTATTATTTGAAGTCCATTAAGTTATATCAGTACCTCTTCAGAATTACATTTACAATACAATTCAATAATAACAAAGTTATATTGTCACATCTAAGCAATTTATGCAATTTGATATTTAATTCACTTTTATAATCACTTAAAAGGGTGGTTTTTTGGACAAAATAAAATGAAATGTTTCCTTCAAATCTGACATTCACCCAAGTTTAAGAATTACTCAGAAGGCAATTTTATTCCCAGATATTTTATTTAATATTATCATTGTACAACTGATTGCACTTAGTTATTTTTAAATNTCACTTAAAAGGGTGGTTTTTTGGACAAAATAAAATGAAATGTTTCCTTCAAATCTGACATTCACCCAAGTTTAAGAATTACTCAGAAGGCAATTTTATTCCCAGATATTTTATTTAATATTATCATTGTACAACTGATTGCACTTAGTTATTTTTAAATACTGTAATGAAGAATAGCTGTTGCCTTTAAGGCTGTTATACATGTTACGGAAATCCTTTGAGGATTAACCGTAATTTTTGTTTCTATCTATCCAACTTTAAATAAAAATAATTCTTTATATGTTGGGAAATATTTTAATGAGTTTTGTAAATTACTATGTTCGATCCAGCCAGTTATATCCGATTTTTTTTCGTCTTTTAAGTACCATCCTTTGAGGATTTCCGTAACATGTATAACAGCCTTTAATGTGCTGTTTGTTGTCAGCTCACCAGAGTTAAGTAGCAATAAACCTAAGTATTACTCCAATCAAACAATTACCAGATGCTGTTTCCACCTACAGCCTGACAACAACAGTTGATTCCCAATCCAGACTGGAAGATAGGAGGTCAGCAACAAGAATAGCATCTTGCCATAAAATAAAGCCAAATTGGGAGGAGAAAGTATAGTAAATGCACAGGAAGTGACTAATAATGGTGAAAAAGGAAATTTTTTTAAAATAATAATGATTGTAAAATTCAGAGGCATTTCAGTAGAACATTAGCTAGTTACAACACGTTATTTAGTACACATTGTTATTTATAGCTTATTAAATTTCCTGTTTTAACTTTACATAAAGCAAAGAAATTTTTAAATTATTCTCATTTGGTTACTACACATTTTTAACAAAACGCTTCAAAAGTAAATCCAATTCAAGAGCTTTTCTTAGAATGGAAAAAGTTTTTAAGAAACACATTTTAAAAAAGCCTTTAAAATTCAGTAAACAAATTTTTTAATGTAAAAAATTTACGACAAATTTTTTTGACCTTACTCAAGGTCTGTCTCAAGTCTAAGTTAATGATAATCCAAATTGGAATGCTTAGAATAACTTTTTAAAATATTTTTTTAAAATTTGGAACACAAACATAATGCTACATTACAACAAATATACAGTGATAAATATAAAGTTAACACACACATAAAAATTTTAGGCATAACGTAGTACTAATTAATAGAATTAAATTACATAAAAAACTCCACAGTTTATTGTAGAAACGTTGTCATGCATACAAGAAGGTTTAGAGTTTTTTAAAATGTGTTTGTGATTCTTTCCAGTACAGTCAACCCCCCATAACACTGTTGATAATTCCGTTTTATATGAATTCCATGTTGTACGAGTCACTTAGATTTTACATATATGTGAGCCATTCACAGCCTGGCACACATATTTGTAAATCTAAGTGACTTGTACAACATGGAATTCATATAAAACAAAATTATCAACAGTGTTATGGGGGGGTTTGACTGTATTGAAAAGAAAGTAATTTTAATTAGTTTTTAAGAATCTTTATCACTTTGGACTCTGTGTGCACGCTAATAAAGTGTCATTCTCTTATTGACTCCTGATAGGCACATAGCCTGAACACACTTGTGTTTCCCAAAATTTCAACTTAACCAACAGTTAATCATTTAATATTTTTCAAAATGTTCCTACCTAAGTTTAAGGGAAGTATCTCATAATTTCACAGATTTTTTTATTCCCTTCTTCTGTAAATGGCTTGGCTGCTTGCAACCCATCCTCTCACACATCATCCAATTTCTACAGTTAAGTATGTCCTGCATCATTAAATACATCAAGCCATGGGTAATCTACAAACAGTCAGCAACTTCATTGACGGTTACTCTGGATTGAGGCATTTGCAGAGGAATTGTTAGCATCAGTGACGACCAACTAGTCTGCCACTACGCAATTTGTATTGTCAAGTTGTCCAGTACAAATTGTCACCCTGCACAAAACAACTTGGCCTATTTGAAGACTTGCACTTTTGACAATTCATTCTTATCATAAACAGTTATCAATCAATGATGAATTTCATTGGGTTTAACTTAACATCAGAAATTTAGTGACTGAACACTGAAGGACACTATTTTCTGGAGTAGCTTCTATTCACTGCTTTAAAAATACTGATAACATATGTGCAATATAAATATCAAACAAGCCTTCATACTTGCTAAATTCTGTTTTTCCAGCATGAATGCTTTATTTTTTACAAAATAATTCTAGTTTCTTTTTGACTGAACCAAATATCAGTTTGAGTCATAAGTAACTTCTGATGCAGCTTAGTAGAATCTATTCATATCTACCACTATGAGTTACTGGGACAAATAAGTTTTTGTTTTCACTATATAGAGGGTTCAGTTGGTCTTCTGTCATCTGTTTTGTGTGATGCATGTTACATTAAACTATTTTTCTTAACCTTTGAAATGAAGAGTCAAAAAGTGCACATTCATCATGTAATGCTTTGGGCAGTTATAAATTGGTTTGTAAAATTCCATTCTAAAGATATCACCTTAAAAGACGAACCGAGGGCAGTATGTCCTTCCAACTTTGACAACAACCTTTTAAAGGCAATATTGGAGCAAAATCCATATCAATCAACAAGAGGTATAGCAGAAAGGTTGAATACATCACAATCAACTGTTAACTGCCACCTGGAGAAATTAGGGAAAGTCAGCAAGTTAGGAGTATGGGTACCTCACAATCTCAGTGAACAGAATAAAGATTGCATGTCAATCACCACAAGTCTGCTCTCATAGGTAAAAATTGAGCCTTTTTTAAACATGATTATAACGATGAAAACTGGGTTACCTATGACAATATCATCTGCAAACAACAGTGGCTTGATAAGGATCAACAACCCCAACCAAATCTGAAAGCAAACATACATGGCAAAAATATTTTATCATGTGTATGGTGGGATTGTCGAGGCATAATTCATCACAAGATGTTGAAGTCAAATTTAACAATTACTGTGGATAGATACATTCAGCAACTGCAAAGAGTGCAAGAGAAATGCCATGAAAAGCATCCTGCACTTGTCAATTGCAAAAACATCATTCTTTTACACAACAATGTGCAACCACATACAACAAGGGTGACTCAAGAAAAAATTCTTGAGCTTGGATGGTCTGTTTTACCACACCCACCTTACTTCCCAGACCTTTCTCTGAGTACTATCTTCCTGTTCCTTATAAAACTTTTTGAATGGAAAATAAATAACTAAATTCTTACTGGAAGTATTATATAAATATAAAACAAACACCTTTCTCTATTCCAGCACACTTTTAATGCGTTGAAAAACGTTTTCGATCGTTTTAATCGAACTGAGGATGATCGATTAAAACGATCGAAAACGTTTTTCAACGCATTAAAAGTGTGCTGGAATAGAGAAAGGTGTTTGTTTTATATTGAATGGAAAAACTTTCAATTCTAAAGAGCAAGTCAGTCAGGCTGTCAAAATTTCTTCCAGTCCAAACCAACCACATTTTACAAGGAAGGAATTGATAAACTGCCAGGAAGATGGGAAGTCATGCATAATAGTGGCAAATACATAATAAATTAATATAATTTTGTTATTTAATGAATGCAAAATAAATGTCTAATAAAAAAAAGGAAACTACTTATGATTCAACTTAATATAATATAATATATGCAGTATAGATAACTTGTAATCTCCAACATATAATTCAGTATGCACATTCACATAGATTTGATGGAAATAACAATGTCAAAAAACTAACATAAACATTAGTGTAAGAATATTCCTTCATGACCTTATCTACACTTTAAACATAAGATGAAAGTTGATAGTAGTTATACTGCTATAAGCAATGTTTCAGTATTAAGCACACATGTTTTGATATTAATAAATTACAGCAGGTTAAATTGTTTCCCAGTAATTTTACTATAGCAAATTATTATGATAATCCATTGTCATATAGAGAATATCTACCAAAGTGAGTAACCATTATTGTTACAAGTTATGCAGAAAAACAGATTTAATGAGTGCAATTTACTTTTTCAAAACTTACTATTTGATTAATAATCTAAATTGTTTCTAAGAAATTGGTCATTATGATTATTGTTTTGACTGAACGTAATTCCAGGAAGAAAATTTAATACTATATACATAGATATTAAAACAAACATCACATTCTGGATATCACTATAAATATGAGATAATTTTATTATTTTATTGTAATTTTATGTTAGCATATATGTACATTTTTGTACCAAAGTGAGTTGTTAAGTGACTCAAAAGCATTTATCCAGAAATAAAACTTTTGATGAACAAACATTTTTTAATCACTTAACCAACTTATCCTCAGGTTCAAACATCCACACTAGTAATCTATTCTGCATGTTTAAATGTAAGGGCGAGTCATTAAGTGACTCACTTAACAATTTATCCTCAGGTTCAAACATCCACACTAGTTATCTATTCTGTATGTTTAAATGTAAGGGTGAGTCATTAAGTGACTCAAAAATTTATTTATTTATTTTACACATACAACA